TACTGGGAATGAATTTATAACACTCCTTTCAATTTTCCCAAGAAATCAGTCAATTTTCTCCCCTTAAAAATCACGTGATGGCTAGCTTCGATTTTACTTCTCTTTTTACTAATATTCCCCTGGACAAAAATATTAATATTGCACTGCCTAATCTTTTCACTAAAACATTCTTGTTAATGGATTTTCTAAATCTGATTTCAAATCTACGCTTGAACTCTCTTTTCCTCTTTAACAATACTCTAGATGAGCAGACAGATGGTGTTGCTATGGGCTCCCCCCTTGGGTCCTACACTTGCCAACATTTTTCTCTCTCACCACAAACAGAACTGGATTGACAACTGTCAGTTAAGCTTCAAACCTGTTCTCTACAGAAGGTATGTTGATTATACTTTCCTTATTTTTCGCCATATTGATCATATCCAACACTTTCATGACTATCTCAATTCACAACATCCCTCTATACAGTTCACTCATGAAATTGAGACTAATAACTCTATTCCCTTTCTGGACATTCTTGTTAACCAGGATGGTAACGGCTTTATAACTTCTGTCCATCGTAAAAACACATTTATTGGCCTTTTTACTCAGTTTGACAGGTTTATACGCTTCTCTTTCAAATGCAATCTTATTCTCTGTTTACTAAATAGAGCCTACAAACGTACTTCATCCTATTTAGCCCTTCACAAATAAATTACTTTCATATATAACATTCTCTTTTCAAATGGCTATACTATGTATTTCTTGGAGAAAACAACTTCCTAACTAATTTGTTTGTCAAACCACCTAAGATACCCACTGTACCCAAACTTTCCTTATACACCTGCTTACCATATCTTGGGAGACAAAGCTCCCTTATCACAAAACAGTTGAAAAATTATGTAACTCTTACTATCCCCAAATTGACATGAAAGTTATTATGAAACCCAATTTCAGAGTAAAATGTTTTTCCGCTACAAAGATCGTTTGGCGACTGCCCGTTGTTCACATCTCGTCCACTTATACACGTGTGGAGACTGTAAGACCTCTTATATTGGTGAAACTAAACATCACCTTAAAGTACAAGCATGTGAACACACGAGCATATCTATAAAAACTAGAAGAAAGGTTACAAACCTTCCCAACTCCACTAGCTACCAGCTCAATACAGAAACAGAGCAACCAATTTCTCTCTCCAATATTAAAATTCTCTCAACAGCCAAACATGATACTGAACTTCTAATAAAAGAAACATTATACATAAAAACTCTTCTTTCATCCCTAAATAACACACAGTCTTCACTGGATTTAATCCTATTTTAACTATTTCATTTGTATCAAATTTTTTCATTTTTTTTTATGATTTGTACGTTCAAATTGTTTACTTCTTATGTATATCATATTTCTGTTGTAATTACAAATATTGGTTACTAATAACGGAATTTTGATGATTCCGAAACATTTAATGTGTTTTACAAAAAATGAGTTGGTTATTAGTATACTTTGAGAGGATCATAGAGAGCTGATGGAGCTGCCAGTGACAGGATGGCCATCCCATCTGTATTTCATGGGTCTGGGAAGAGAATAACACCAAAAACACTAGGTGAATGGACAATTTAGTGAAGTATTTTATTTCATTTTGTTACTTTTGTTTAGTATTAGGTTTGTTCAAAGAAGGGGGCAGTGTTATAAACTATATACTTTGTAATTTGTTAGCTAGAGTGAGCTGTGGGTCATAGAAAACTTTAAGGATATGATGTGAAAGTGTTGTTTAAGGATGTAACTTAAAGGTATAGTATATATATGTAGATTACATAACATTCCATGAAGTGTTAGTTAGTTGAGCTGAAGTACAGTTATCGTGCCTGAAAAGTTACACCAGTGACCGAGCTTTTAATAATGTTAAAATAAAAAATTAATTATGTTGTTTCATTTAAGTGGACTGGACATTGAATTATTTTTGCCTGATAACTTGAAAATACCCTCAAAGTAGGTAAACACATCACAACAATGTATTCTGCATTTCATAATAAGTCTTACAAAGCTTATTAGGGGTTTTTATGGTATAGTAAAAACTTGACTACAGATATTTTGTCTTATCTTAATTTAACATTTATAAATCTGAATTAAGAGGCAAAACATGTTATTTGAAATCTAGCTTTTGTCTATCATGAACCTCTGTTTCTGAAGGCTTTCTTTAATTATCAGAACTCGTCAAATTCAATAAACAAGTTTCACTTTAATTCCAGTATTACAGTCATCTTTTGTGACCAATTTTTAAGATGCGGAATACAAAATCTTTTTTTGCAACACTCTTTAACAGTAGAAAAATGTTAGGTCTGTTAGCATTATTAGTAAGTTAGGCTTATACTGTGCAAGCCAGAAAATTACACTTAACAAACTTTAAGACTAATTTTCACTCACTCATGCATCCACAACCACATTTTGTTTACATTATTAACTCGACATCTTTTAGTATTAAAAATATATATATATTCCTGCGTTGAAGTAAAGTACTTTTAATTGTAATTAAATCTTAAAATTTGGATATTATGTACATTTTTCTCACCCTCATACACAATGCTTAATACCACAGGAATAAAAGAATTATCAAAGTCATTCATGTTCAATTTCTTGTAAAAATGTTACTTGTTTTACTTGAAACTGTTCACATTTCTCAAGGAATCTTTCTTTCTGACTTGACAAACATCTAATGCATGATTATCACATTTTACTTGACTGGTATTCATTTTGGTTTTACAGAATAATGAAGAAAAAAGTTTGTGAAAGATTACTTATGGGATATGATACATTTCTCCAAGGTACTCATGCAGCCAGTGTAAATAACTTAAATATTCATCACTTAAAGCTTAGAACAGAGTTTTTATAAAGTAAAGGATACAAACAAAAATGGTATGCAGGAGGAAACTAACATTTCCTAAACCAGTAAAATTCACTTTTGTAAGGATAATATGTATCAAAAAGTTTTCCTTTTACCATTTGAAACAAACAAAGAAAAACCATCATCAGAATACATACATATTGAAAAAACTATCATCAGAATACATACATATTGAAAAAACCATCATCAGAATACATACATATTGAAAAAAACCATCATCAGAATACATACATATTGAAAAAACCATCATCAGAATACATACATATTGAAAAAACCATCATCAGAATACATGCATATTGAAAAAAACCATCATCAGAATACATACATATTGAAAAACCATCATCAGAATACATACATATTGAAAAAAACCATCATCAGAATACATACATATTGAAAAAACCATCATCAGAATACATACATATTGAAAAACCATCATCAGAATAATATACAAATCAGAAAGTGAGAAAACTCTTTACAAGGAATGTTAAAACCAAACTTATTTTTTTAGTAATGAAATATTTTTTCTACACATTCACATGAAACCTGCATTACTTACATGAAAGAGTTCATGTCTATAATCATATTTTTAAATTATCAAATTTAACTAGATTTAACAGTTTATGTGTATATATCTCATTATGTACTATATATATATATATATATATATATCACAATAACAAGTAGATCTGGAAAACTGTGAATGGTTTATTTAATGACATTACTACAATATCAGTTTAAAATTAACTTTCCTTGTAAACAAGCTTTCATTGTAGTATAACTAGGACTTAAATTTTCAGTTTTAACTGATAAACACCAATAAAACACTGCCTGATAAAAAGAAAAAAAAACAATGATGTAGATATGAAATAACAATAAGAAAAACATCGGAAATAGTTATTTAATTAACGTTAATATCACCTCTTTCCAAGTGCATTTAGTTATATAATGTTCCTCCTTCATGACTTGTATATAGCATTAATTTGTTTAGAATACTTTAAATTATCCCAACTACCAAGAAATAGCAGAGTTTAGACTACATGGAAGTAATTTTTATACATACAATAATAGGGTCATTAATGAAATTAAAGCAGATCCCGTGCAGAGATGAATTCTGGGAAAAAGCCCATAGAATCTCATATATAAAAAGAGAAAGATCCCCCCTTCCATAAAAAGATTTCAGGCATCATAAAACTTAAAACTAAAAAAATATCTAAAAATAAGCACCAAAAAATAAAATTCATAGACACCACAAAAGAGAAGTCCTAAGTAAAATACATGAAAGAAAAAGCTTTTATCAATTTCCACATTTTTTTAACATTGAAGATTACTGCCAAGTTTTTCTCTAATAAGCGATATTAATTACAAATTACTACTGTCATAAAATACAAACAAATGAAGTTAAAGCATCTTTTTACATATGTAAACACTGTTGTAAACATATATGAAAACAAAAACAATTGTCCCATTTAGAAATGGTACAAAAAATTATTTTCAGTTTAACATCAAGATATTTTTCTCTGAGGTAAAGATAATTTCAAATATAAACAGTAAAAATTTTCATTGTGATTTTCTTTTCTTTTTTTAATATACATATTGTTATGACAGTGGAAGTCACATGATGCTGGAAGCATGCACGCTGGAGTTCCTAGAACGATCATGACTGTTCCTGGAAACTCTAGTCTTTTCTAGGTACCCTCTATTTTAGTATATAAGCCCGGCAAATAGAGCGAAGATAATAGTTGCAGATTGGCAGATATAGAGACAGATAATTGAGTCAAGAGAGCGGTAGTGACGGTAAGTAAAGTGCATGAATCGTTGTGAATTATAGCGTGTGTTTAAGATAAAGTGACCATGGAAATTCTG